GATAAGATGCATTCAAAGATTTTAGAAATTGTGGGGACACTGATCATGATCTTTCAGTCGTCCCTGGTGTTGGGGGGAGATGCCAGAAGCCTGGAGAATTGAAAACATTTTCTGAAGAAGGGTCTAGGCCCGAAATGTCAGCTTTCCTGCTCCTCTGATGCTGCTTGGCCTGCTGTGTTCATCCAGCTCTACACCTTGTTATCACGGATTCTCCAGCATCTGCAGTTCCTACTATCTCTGCCATCAGAGGAAAGGCAGCTGTTACCTAGAGTATTGCTTCCATTGCCCAACAATTCTTGTAAAATCATCTTTTATATTTTGTTTTCTTTCATGGGAATTGGGGATTGCTGCCTTGGCCAGCATTTATTGTCCATCTGTAATTACCCTTGAGAAGCTGGTGAGTGGTCTCCTTGAATCATTGCATTTCATTTGGTGTAGGGACATCTGTTACAGACAGCCTTCCAGGACTTTAACATAGCAACACTGAAGGAACGGTGATAGAGTTCCGAGTTACGGTGGTCCGTGGCTTGGGGAAGAACTCGCAAAAGGTGGTATTGCCAGACATGTGCTGCCCTTGTACTTTTAAGCGGTAGACATCATGGATTTGAAAGATGCTATCAAAGGAGCCTTAGTAAGCTGTTGCAGTGCATGCTGTTGTTGGTGAACACTGTGCATTGTTGGTGGAGAGGGCAAATGAGGTCCTGGATAGCATACAACTAAATGAGTTGCATCAGACTGGATGGCAAGTGTTTTGAAGCTGCACTCAGACAGGCAAGCGGGTATATTCCAACACTCCTGAATTGTGTGTTGTCAATGGTGGACGGACTTTAAGAGTCAAGAGTTACTTGTTGCACAGCTGCTAGCCTCTGACTTGCTTCTGTAGCCATGTTATTTATAAGGCTGGTTCAGATCAGTTTCTGGTCAATCATAACCTTCAGGACATTGATAGTGGAGGATCCAGTGATAGTAATTCCATTGAATAGCAAGGACAGATTGTTAGATTTTCTCCTGCTGGAGACAGCCATTGCTAGATCCTGCTGGTGCTTACCGTCCATGTAAATCTCCCATTTATTACACCAAATTTCAGCCTTTCAACTACCTTTCATTTCCCCTTTCCCTCATCATTATCGTCCAGTTTCCTTCCAAATGGATCTAAGCTCCAGACTATTCCTGTCATATTAAACTCCATATTCTATCCCCTGTAAGTAAAGGAAATTCACCTTATTTCCCAGCCCAGGTTATTATCTTGTACTTATGCCTCCCAGTTTGTGTCTCCTGTGTGAGGATTTACTCATCCCTGTCTGCCATGTCCACTCCATTTCCCAATTTTAAACACTTTTATCAGGATATCTCCCAGTCTCTCTATTTCTGTGAATTCAATCTTTTCTGATTGGCTATAATCTGGGAAGGCAGGTGGACTGGACTAGTAATTCAGAACCACAGGCTGGAATGCATTACCTCCCCCTCCAACACCATTTTAATTTTGCACCTTCACCCATATCCTTAGCCGAAGCCCCACACACCAGGTCTTGCTATCACAACCAACCTATTGTCAGCTATTCATTCTCCCAGGCTGACCGTTACCCATTCCTTTGTCTATCCAACTGTTTTTCTCTCTCTGGACACTATCTCTACCCATCATTTACTCCCTACCCCTCCCCGCTACCCCTTAGCTCGCATATATTCCAACATATCCCAGCATATATCCCAATAATCAGTTCTGAGGAAGGGTCACTGGACCCAAAACATTAACTCTGCTTTCTGTCCACAGAAGCTGTCAGACCTGCTGAGTTTTTCCAGCAATTTCTGTTCTTGTTTCTGGCTTTACTTTTGACCCCTCCCACTCTTCTACCCACTGCCCCTGGTGGACAGTGCTCGTTAATAGTTACTTATTTAGTTGTTTGAATTAGTTCATTTGGTGGTGGGTTTTCAGACAAAAATGCTGCAGACATTTTCACGTTGCTGTAAAGACATGGCGTGAGCCTGAATTTAGTAACTATTAGAATCTGAGGAGCTTCACAATTTACTGAGTTACTTATGGTCATTGGTATATTTCAACATCAGGTTCATTGAAGATTTAAAATGTAATTTCCAACAAATAAAGGTCAGATAATTGAAGTTGCATAACAATAAATCAATTAATAAGAAGTAAGTTTCAACAAGTCTGTACAATACACAGAGATGACAGGGAAGCACATGTGTGGTAAAATCCACAGAAACCAGGTAACAGACATTTTTAGAAGGAGGCTAGTTTTAGTCATGTAAATTTCTCAGTTAAAACAAACGCCATAAGTCAAAAGGTAAAGATTCAGTTTTGAAGGAATATATCTATTTGATGTGGGACAAAATATCCCATCGGAAGATTTGTTACATAAGCAAGGACTTCTCTGTATTATTACACAATACGTTAAAAGTCACCTCTAATCCTGCATCAAATTAGAAAGTTCATGAGTTAAATTTGTTGATCTGATTAAGGACATGCACTGTGTTCGGTCCTGGCATTTCTGAGGGAGATAGTGATCTGCCATTAATCCTGTTGGTGACTGAGTCTGGATGATGATAAAATGTTTCCAAAGTTGAATAGCTACCAGCAGTAAATGTCCACTATGAAGAATGGTCACTCAACTGCAGTATTGTAGGATAGCTAGGTCCTATTGATGCTGTCATCAGCAAGTGGGCAGAGACAGGGAATCATTAAGAGGGGAAACTAAAGCATGGACACTTGAGTGTTTTGTAAGATAGCCTGAAGAAGTATTCTTAGAAACTTTGAACTGAATAGGATGCAGTGGCTTTGGTGGACAATGCCAGAAAGTGGTTAAAAGCAACAAGAAGTTACAAACAGAATGAGTAGACCTGGTGCTGACGCACTGAGCAGAGGTGATGATTTCTCTGTAACAGTACAACACGCAAACACGTCACCATGACCCTAATTGCCATGTGATTTAGGAAATCATTACGTTTACACTCTGTGTTCACTTGGCTGTCAGAACACAATGAATGCCCTTGATGTAACACTAACAACCACACTCTTCTTAAGGGGCGGCTTCTCCTTTGGTATTTGGGGAAGCAGGGAGTGGTATGGGGCTGGGGAGATGGGAACGGGATGGGGATGGAGGGAGTCGGTGGTGGGAAGTAGAATGAGGTTCGGGAGTGGGAGGGAGGTGGGTGTGGGAAGTGGGAAGGGGTGCAGGGTGGGAGAGGGTACAGGGAGTGAGATTGGTGGGAGGGAATGGGGTGGAGGAAGTTGGGGGAGTGGGATGGGTGGGGAGTAGGA